TTCTTCTTCTTTTTTTTTTTTTTTAGAAATCTTTTATTTAATAAATATAATGTATATCTTTTGGACTATAGTTGTTCTTCCCCCGTACCCGCCCTCCCACCCCTAACTGTCCCACCTCCTACTCCTCCCAACCCATTCTTCATTAAGATTCATTTTTAATTATTTTTATATACAGAAAATCAACTCTCTGCTAAGTAAAGATTTCAATAGTTTGCACCCACACAGGCACACAAAGTATAAAGTATTGTTTGAAGACTAGTTTTCCTGTTAATTATCATACTACAACACATTAAGGACAGAGATCCTACATGGTAAGTGCACAGTGACTCCTATTGTTGATTTAATAATTGAGACTCTTATTTATGATGTCAGTGATCACCTGAGGCTCTTGTCATGAGCTGCAAAGGCTATGAAAGCCTCTTGAGTCCACAAACTCCAACCTTATTTTGACAAGGCCATAATCAAAGTGGAACGTCTCTCCTCCCATCAGAGAAAGGTACCTCCTTCTTTGATGACCCCTTCTTTCCACCGGGATCTCACTCACAGATACCTTTCATTTAGGTCATTTTTTTGCCACAGTTCCTTGGCTTTCCATGTCTGAAATACTTTCATGGGCTTTTTAGCCAGACCTGAATGCCTTAAGGGCTGATTCTGAGGCCAGATTGCTGTTTTGGGCATTTGTTATTCTATGAGTTTGCTGTGTGGCCTGTTTCCCATGATGGATTATTCTTTCCTTTTTAATTATATCTATTATTATTAGCAGACACTAGTCTTTTTTTTTTTTTTTTTTTTTGACAGGCAGAGTGGACAGTGGGAGAGACAGAGAGAAAGGTCTTCCTTTTTGCCATTGGTTCATCCTCCAATGGCTGCTGTGGCCGGCGCGCTGCAGCCTGCGCATTGTGCTGATCCGAAGCCAGGAGCCAGGTACTTATCCTGGTCTCCCATGGGGTGCAGGGCCCAAGCACTTGGGCCATCCTCCACTGTACTCCCTGGCCACAGCAGAGAGCTGGCCTGGAAGAGGGGCAACCGGGACAGAATCCGGTGCCCCGACTGTGACTAGAACCCGGTGTGCCGGCGCTGCAAGGCGGAGGATTAGCCCAGTGAGCTGCAGTGCCGGCCAGCAGACACTAGTCTTATTTTATGTGATCCTTTGACACTTATTCCCATCTTTATGATCAGTGATGAACTTAAACTGATCACTTTAACGAGTAAGATGGCATTGGTATCTGCCAACTTAATTGGATTTGGAGTCCCATGGCAAGTTTTTAGGGGTAAGTCTGAGGGAATGTGTGCCAAACTGTAGATCTCCTGCCTTTTTTATTCCCACCCTTATTTTTAACAAGGATCAATTTTCAGTTGGTTAAACACCTAAGAATAATTCTGTGTTAAAGAGGTCAACCAATGGTATCAAGTAGAAAAAGAAAATATTAAAAAGAGTAAAATAGTAAGCCGTTTCTCGACAGTCAGGACAAGGGCTGATCAAGTTATTGTTTCTCAAAGTGTCAGTTTCACTTCTACAGGTTTCCTTTTAGGTGCTCAGTTAGTTGTCACAGATCAGGGAGAACATATGATATTTGTCCCTTTGGGACTGGCTTATTTCACTAGGTGTGATGTTTTCCAGATTCTTCCATTTTGTTGCAAATGAACAGATTCCATTTTTTTTTACTGTTATGTAGTATTCCACAGAGTACATATCCCATAATTTCTTTATTTAGTCTTCCGTTGATGGGCATTTAGGTTGATTCCATGTCTTAGCTATTGTGAGTTGAGCTGCAGTAAACATGGAGGTGCAGATAGCTCTTTTATTTGCCAATTTAATTTCCCGTGGGTAAATTCCGAGGGATGAGATGGCTGGGTCATATAGTAGGGCTATATACAGATTTCTGAGGAATCCCCACAGTGTCTTCCACTGTGGCTTTACCAGTTTGTATTCCCACCAACAGTGGATTAGTGTGTTTTCCCCCCACATCCTCAGAAGCTTTTGTTGTTTGTTGATTTCTGTATGAAAGCCATTCTCACCAGGGTGAGGTGAAACTCATTGTGGTTTTGATTTGCATTTTGCTGATGGCTAGTGATCCTGAACATTTTTTTTTTTTTATGTGTCTGCTGGCCATTTGAATTTCCTCTTTTGAAAAATGCCTGTTTAAGTCCTTGTAGGCACTGGCATCTCGGCTCACTAGGCTAATCCTCTGCCTTGCGGCGCCGGCACACCGGGTTCTAGTCCCGGTCGGGATGCTGGATTCTGTCCCGGTTGCCCCTCTTCCAGGCCAGCTCTCTGCTGTGGCCCTGGAGTGCAGTGGAGGATGGCCCAAGTACTTGGGCCCTGCACCCCATGGGAGACCAGGAGAAGCACCTGGCTCCTGACTTCGGATCAGTGCAGTGTGCCGGCCGCAACGTGCCAGCCGTGGCGGCCATTGGAGGGTGAACCAACGGCAAAGGAAGACCTTTCTTTCTGTCTCTCTCTCTCACGGTCCACTCTGCCTGTCAAAAAAAAAAAATTTTTTTTTTTCAAATAAGTCCTTGTGGGCCATCTTCTGCTTTCCCAGGCCTTAGCGGAGAGCTGATTTGGAAGAGGAGCAGAGGGGACCACCCGCCTGGAATGTGGGTGCTGCAGGGGGAGGATTAACCTACTCTGCCAATAGCACTGGGTCCAGCAGCAGCTATGTTAAGGATGAGGAAATTGAAGCATGGAAAGCCTGAGCAACTCCTCCAAGGCCACGCCTGCAGGAGTGGGGGCCGGGAGGGAGTTTCAGCCCAGGCCCTCTGGTAGCAGAGTGCACACCCTTGCCCGATGTTAGCCAACAGCTGGGGAAGATGGGTGTTTTAGAGGCTGGGAACCAGGCCACATCCCTGTCTTGTGGATGGCATGCCGGTGTCTTCGAGTACTTGAATCACCTGTTGGCATCTGAATTCAGAGTGAAAGGAGTCCATTGCCACCTCTGCTTGCTGGGTCTAGATGGTACGGTGGAGGGGACACCTGGTGGTAGGATGCTGGATGGCTTCCAAGCTCACAGGGCACAGATGGGCGGGGCCGGTGGTGGGGAACCTAGGCTAGGGGGTTGGCCCGTGGAGGGGGTGGGCAGACAATCAGTTTGTCGCCTGAGTGTGTAGTATGAAGCCTGGTCTGCCCTTAGCCAAGACAAGGCTGGATAATGATGAGCAGGTACCCCAGGGGACCCGACGAAGCCACTCATGGCCGAGGGCTGGACAGATGGTGCAGCCAGCTGGAAATGGAGCTTTTTACTCAAGTGCGGTGGCCCCAGCCCCTGGCCTCAGGTGCCCTGCCTGCCCCAGTGTCACTGGCAGTCAGAGCTGGGTTAGTGAAGGAGGGAGAAATTATTCTTTGCAGTCCCACAGATAATGATGAAGCTTTGAAAAGTGCCTGTTGGCAGGGAAAGCAGAAGAGTGCGTTTCAGCAAGCGTGAGCGCCAGAGATAATTTTGTGGCATCAAATGCTTCTGTTGCTCCAGCACAAAGCTCTCAGCCTCGGGGCAGCGTTTTCACGAGGTCGGGGAGTTTATGAAAATCAAATTTTTCTGGAAATGTAAACACAGCTCTGGCAGACAGAGGCATGTGGCACGGGGCTGGCCAAGGCAGTTACTCCAGGGCCAAGGCTTGGCTGAATCCGGGCTGCAGCCATGCCGGCACCGAGGCAGCGGGGAGCTCCCTGCTCTGGCATGTTAGGAGGCTGTGGTCTCTTCCGAGAGGCAGCCGCTGCGGAAGGCTGTTAGACTCAAAGATGCGGCTGAATTTTCAGTCCTGTAATGGGCACCTGCCTCGTCTTGAGGGACGGTTTTTGCTAAGATGTGTATTTTTGTTGTGTTCCAGTTGTCCCCTAGATTCCTGATTATGTCAGGTTTGCTGCGGCACACAGCAATTCAGTGTGTGCCTGGTCTGTCTGTGGGCCACTCTGCAGAAGCCGGGCAGGGAAGTGGAGAGGGAGGAGGATGGTTGCTGGGCTCCGGCTGGCATCCCTGCAGACTGCTGTTCCTGCCTGGATCCTCTGCTCCCCAGAGCTTTGCATGCTCCCCTCCTTCTGATTCTCGTCACAGCTAAATGCAGCTTCCTCCAAGAAGCCCTCCCCCCACCACCTTAGTGAGGGTTGCCCCTGCCTCCAGCTTGCTGGGAGGTTGCCTTGGGGATTGGACGAGGTGGGGCTCAATCAGGGCTGACTGCTGCTGGCCTGTCCAGGCCTCTCCAGGGTCTGGCTTGGCCACGTGGCCTCTGCTTGGCCAGGCTGCAGTCCTCTTGGAGCCGACAGTGACCACACTGTTGGCATCATTGTGGCTGCCATTCTGATTCCCTTTTGTATGTACATGTTTGCAGTGAGTCATCAATGAAATTAAAATAATTTAGTGTCTCAAATTGGTGACTGTGTCATTTGACGGTATTCTGTGTGGGCTTTGGTTTTGATTTTGATGAAAGACAGGCTTGTGTGTTTTCTGGTTGGCTGATTTGCCGGGAAGAAGCACAGGTCATTTGTGAAGTGCCAGAACTTGCAGCAGAGGTTGTCAGCCTAAGAGCATGGGCATGGGTCCGCTCCTCCTGCAGGGGGACAGAGCTGCGGGCCGCCTCGGTGATGAGTTCCCAGGTGAAAACATCCTTACAGCCTCCCAGCAGCCTTCCCTGTCCCCAGAGCGCACGCTCTCTGCCAGCACCATGCTCAGCACCTTGCAGACGTTGGGCTGCATGCTCATATCTGTGCTACTCGTTTTTTTTTTGACAGGCAGAGTGGACAGTAAGAGAGAGAGACAGAGAGAAAGGTCTTCCTTTGCCGTTGGTTCACCCTCCAATGGCCGCCACGGCTGGCGCGCTGCAGCCGGCACACCGCGCTGATCCGATGGCAGGAGTCAGGTGTTTATCCTGGTCTCCCATGGGGTGCAGGGCCCAAGTACTTGGGCCATCCTCCACTGCACTCCCGGGCCACAGCAGGAGCTGGCCTGGAAGAGGGACAACCAGGACAGAATCCGGTGCCCCGACCGGGACTAGAACCCGGTGTGCCGGCGCCGCAGTGCCGGTCTTATGTGCTACTCATTTTTCAAAAGATTTTATTTTATTTATTTGAGAGGTAGAGTTAGAGACAGAGAGAAAGCTCTTCCTTCCGCTGGTTCACTCCCCAGATGACCCCAAATGATCACTCCCCAAATGTTTGGCCAGAGCTGGGCTGAGCTGAAGCCAGGAGCTAGGAGCTTCTTCTGGGTCTCCCACGTGGGTGTGGGGGCCCAAGCACTTGGGTCATTTTTACTGATTTCCCAGGGCATAGCAGAGAGCGAGGAATAGCTGAGACTAGAATCGGCGCCTTTACGGGATACTGACGCTGCAGGTGACGGCTTAGTCTACTATGTCAGAGCACTGGCCCCTTGTCCTCATTTTTTTAAAATGTATATTCATGGGGCAGGTGCTGTGGCTTAGGTAAAGCTGCTGCCTGCAGTGCTGGCATCCCATATGGGCGCCATTTCAAGTCCTAGCTATTCCACTTCCCGATCCAGCTCTCTG